TTTGGTACGTCTGTAAAGGTAAGATGTCATAGAATGGTTTTCTGGTGTCAGCACCATTGTAGCTTTGACCCTGCCTGAAATATTAGGGACAAAATACAAAATATTTTGCATTTTTTGAACCTCGCCAAAATTTTCTTTGAAATAAACATTGCAAAACACTACCAAAATATTATTTATAGCACAAAAAAGTAGTACAGACTTTCAAATCTAAATGTTGTGTAAAAATATACCAAATATGGACTCAATCAGATGAATCATATTTATTTTAGAATGGTATTAGTGAGAAATTTCTTAGGCGGAGGGGCCATTTTGGCACATTTATCCATAAATGTCACCAAACTGTGCCAAATATGTTTTTTACATCAATACTGGGGGTTTGTTAAAATTACGAGGTCACGTAGCAGCTGGACCCGCCGGTGGGTCCGTAGGGTTCAAGGGGTTAATCCTTATTTATCCTAATATACTGTATATACCTGGATATACTGTATTTATATTGTTTATTCTTAATGCACCTTTTTTTCCTCCTTGTCTGCACCTTCTTTAACTTCTATGCCAATATGTGACGAGTGAATTTCTCTGCTGTGAGATCAATAAAGCTCATCTAATCTAATCTAATCTGCATGAGTCCCTGAGTAGAACAGGATTTTCCCACTTTCAGGTGAACCCATCAACTTCCACAGCAAAACTCTCCTTTCTTTTATCTTCATTTTTCCTTTAAAAATCCCTTTTAACAGCCCAACTACTCTGCTACGTTTCTAAGAACTCAACTTTCAACTCCTGCTAGTTTTTCGTGGCATCTGTCTGCTCACACCTTGGATTGACAGCATTCAGTCATTATATATTACACTAAAATAAGACATAATATAATAAAACGGATAAGGCAACTATTTAATAAAACAACTTGCTTCATTATTTTAACAAAAAAAAAATAATAAACTGTGAGTAAAATATATTATATAACTACATTATTAAGATTTTCAAGAATTTTTAAGCAATTATGATAAATACAAATTGATTAAGCCAATTAAAAATGCAATGATTTATTTAGGACTTACTTAAAAATGTTTAATGCTAAATTTGCTAAATGCTAAAGGATTATTTGTTTGGTTAAATGAGGCTTATTTATCCTTTAAAGCTCTGAAGGTTGATGGGTCAGTTCCATTTATGCACAGGATTAGGAGCATTGTCACCAGTATAACCCATGTAAAATATAACCCATTTACAATTTATTCAAACACAATATTCAGTAAATGTATTATATCATGCTGATATAAACTATCATTCACTACTTTTGTCATTTGGTGACACATTCTGCCTAAACATTTTGGATCAGAACAAAGGAAAGACTTTGATTAAGTTAAATGTTTTTCTTATTTGGTTGATTTGAGGTTGATTTATAAAAAAAATCAAGGATTGCCATTAGATGCTCGGTTTTAAAAAATCTACTTTAAAGCAGCTTTAGCTGGTTTACTAAGAGCTCTAATACTAAAGTTAACATCTGAGTTTCTTCATGATCAGATGCAGTTGGTTAGTCGTGAGGAAAAAATGTTTACATTTTAAATCCAATTCAAAAACATTATTTCTGAAATGTTTTACCTACCAGTTATAGAGAACAAAATGATCATGGGCGCTTCTAGAGGGGGGGCCAGCAGGGGGCCAGTGCCCCTGTAGAACCGGTCCTATTTTTAGCCCAAGGCCCCGTCCACACGAAGTCAAAACGAACACCAAACGCTAATATTTTCCGGAACGTTTGTCGTAAAGACGGAGACGTAAAATAAATGTGATCGTCCACACGAATGCATGAAAACGCTGCAAAATGTATGCCAGGCCTGTAAGTGGCGCTGTGGTGCCAAAGCAAAAATAGGCGACGAAATGTTGGGCATGCCCACTAATATTTATACATGGTTGCCCTGTGGGTCCATTTTCGTGGTTCAGTCAAATTCAGGTGCTGAACTATGTGGTCGATATTGCTCTGTTCTTCCTGGAGATATTCCAGAAGAAGAAGATTCTGTTGTAAGCCCGACAGCAGGGTGAGTAGCATGAGCAGCAACCATTCAACACAGTACGGCGCCATTGTTGTTGTGATACTGTGTCGCGCATGCGTGTTTAGAGGCGACGCTATGACGCATGCGTGTAAGAAAAAAAAATGCGGTTAGAGCTTAAAGCTGGAAACGCGAAAACGGCGTTTCAAAATCTTCCCGCTCTGAAGGCTTGATAAAAAAAAGATCGTTTACAGACCCCCGAAACGCCGGCTTCGTATGGATGAGAGGCTGGTTTGGTGAAAAATTTGTGCGTTTAGGCCAGGGTTTGACTTCGTGTGGACGGGGCCCAAGGATTTCTCTGATCTATTTCACATTTTTTTAAGCTTTTTACAGTTTTAGTTCAAGATTTTTAATTTTAAAAATGAAGGTGTTGCACTTTTGGTTTCAGTTTTTTCCTGTCAGATAACCAATCTTTAGAAAGCTTGATATCCGGGTATCTATATTTTCTTTATAACACTTGTTATAAAACTACAAAAAAAATTTAATGTTTTAAAAAAATAGCTGTGAAAAAAAAAAAAAAAAACATGGAAAACACTAAATGAGACGTTTAGAGCACTGATATTGGACCTTTGTAAAACATTGGTTAAGTTTGACATAAAAAGTATCGGCCAATCACAAAGCTCCAAAGATTAGGAAAATCAGGACTAATAAATAAGAGCACCCCTACTTTTTTATCTGGGGAGTCAAAATACGCTCCTTGGTTTGATGTTTCACTTAAAGAAAAAATGTGGTGCAGACAGAAAATAATAACAATAATGAGTTAGAAGTGAAGTAGATAAATTGGTTGTAATTTGTCACTTTTAGTTGTTAAAATTGAATTATTTCAACCAATAATTATTAATGAAATCAATTAATAAGATAACAGTTTTATCTCTGTGTTTTTATCACTGTTATTTAACACGGCAGCAGTGCTGGTTTCCACCTGTTAGTGCTTCCATTTTTAAAAAGTGGATCCATCTTTAAAGGTCCTGCAGAAACAGCATGTTGTTGAATGCAAAATTAGAGAGAAGGTTTCTTTCTTTCTTTGATTGTGGGTGGCTGGAGGGAGGGGGGGGGGCTGTGGGGGGTTAAATTTGGTGTTTAGTGAGTGATGCAGGAGATGTGATAACGAGAGGCCAAGGAGAGCAAGTGTTACCTCATTATTGTAATGAAAAAAAAAGATACCCCACCATTACATCAGTTGGGGGAAAAAAGTGGCAATTAAAGTCCCCAACAAGGTTTCCTTGAGGCAAGAGGAGGAAGAAAACGAGCCTCTGAAGCCCATCTGTTCTGGATAATATGCAGCACCGTAAAGAAAGGGGCCTAATCCTCTTCATTCAAGTCTGCTGCCCATTTTTATCATTATTATTATTATTGTTTTCTATCAGTGATTGGATTAAAAAAAAAAAAAAAAAAAAAATCCTCATAATAAACAAATATTCTGCTTGATCCAAAAAAAGTTTTTCAATAATCTTGCCAACCATATTTTGGATTAGCACAAAAATAACAAAATATTTATAAAACAGGATTCTAATTTTAAAAAAGGAATAAAAATAAACGAATTTTGTGGGTAAAAAAAAGGCGGATTCTGACCCCAGACCAGCAGGTAGCGGCCCTATTAATTCAGTATTGCTGTGATGTTCTCCTCAGCCTATTATTAATGAACTGGAAACAGCCGCTGCAACCACACACACACACACACACACACACACACACACACACACACATCTACCAGCCGAGCGCGATAAATAAATAATGCTGCAGAAGTCAACAACACGCATGCATGCGCGCTGCAGCCGAAAAGCTGCAGGGTCAATGCGGTTTCTATGAATATTACTATTTCTGGATGTAAAATTCTTATATCTATAATTCCGTTCGGTGCTCTGTCCTTGGATCCTCTTAAGTTTTCATCCTATTATGATTTTAGATGCATATTTGATTGATCTATAGGTCCTCCAGTGTTGGATCTGAGCAGGTGGCTTAGATATCATGTGCTTCCAGGATTAAAGCTGATTTTCATTCTACATGTTTTTGTTTTTTGGTTTTTTTCGTAAGCAAAGCGACACTTTTAGCATAAGGTTGTATTTCACCCAGATTATGCAAACTTTCTGTTTTTTTGTTTTCTGCTGAGCAAATATAAAAAAGAAGTGAAGAAAAATGTGTTCCGTTGTATTTAAATTAAAATTCAGTTTCCCCCATAGTGATAAAAAATGATAACATAAACAAACGCACCCTGAGGCGCTAATTCACCCTATAATCTGGGGCTACTTTAGGAGCCAGAAGAAGAAAAAAAATGACGCATTTTGCTGTTTACTGAAGCAGCAATTAAAAAAACTAAAATATGGAGAGAAAAAAATGGATGCAGAAAATAAAATTAAATATGCCCAAAAAAAAAGATCCAGATTATCAACGCAACAAATTTCATGGGATTACCCCCCAAAATAATCCTAAAACAAGTTCACTCATGCTTTAGAGAATGCGCAGATTATTCACCCCCCCTCCCCTCCTTCCTGCCCCCTCCCCACTTTCTTACAGGCGTCTTGTCTCGTTTTTTTTTCTTGTTTTTTTTCCCTGCGCTGAGAAATCCAGGCTTATTGTCTGCTGCTGCGCTCCCAGGGAACAGCTGCCAAGCCAAGGCCACATTCCCAGTGTGGATCGGGACCATTCACCCCCCCCCACCCCATTGCACCACCAATCAGCTGCTGCGCATCCATATGCATGCTGCCGCTGGTAAACACAAACATTAAGGTGACCTCCAGCCACTGATCACCAATTTAACTTTAAAGGAACATTTGCTGCAGGAACAAATTATTAAATCAGAAATAAATCAGATTAAAGAGAAAAAAAGGCACTGTTGGAGCTATAGATTTTAAAATATAGATATGAAATGGTCCGATGCAGATCTGTTCAAATAAATCTTTTTTTTTTCTTCCAAATTTTAAATTTGGACCCTGGTTTCAATAATCGTCTACAATTCAATTAGTATCATTACTGCTTTATTCATTCACGTCTTCTCCATCTAATAAACTTTATAAGTTTATTTGCTAATGTAAGTGTATTTGTACAAAAGACAAACAAACAATCAGCCATGAGCAGTCCGGTCCGCGCAATCTGGAGCAGTGGCGACCCTCAGAAAGTCTTTAATAAAATCGTCTCTTTTCTGTTTTTTTTTTTGTTCTTTATGTGTTTCTGTCGGGAGCGTTAAAGTCCTGTTTTTGCTCCATTTCGCGCTCACCCACGTCACGCGTTCTAGCAGCGTCCAGTTTGTTTAGTTTGTTGTTGTTTTTTTTTTATCGTGGATGCGCTGTTCCGGGCAGCGGGTTCAGCGCCGGCTGGCCTCCCGGTCCGAGGCCGTGAATGAGGACCCGAGGGACCAGAGGCCTCTGGAGGCTCGGATGCGGCGTGGAGGGAGTCCGGTACATGCTGCTGTACATGGCCGCGGCCGCCGCGGCCGCCGTGGTGCTGTCCACGGTGCCCAGCAGGCTGGGGTGGTAGAAGTAGGGCGAGGGGAACATTCTCTGTAAGGCCGAGTAGTTTCCTGCTTCAGCCAGGAGCTCCAGACCGACCGCCGTCTGCCGCTTCCACTTCGTCCTGGAAATCAGATCAAAAATCCAGCTGATCAATTATTTAATCCGAGTCCCTGAACGCATCTTTGATTGGTATGCAGAGGCCTAATTACTGCAGCCAGAATATACACGGTGGAGGTTTAATTAGGCATTAAAGTAAAACAGAAAAAGGAAAAGTCCACTTCTGCAAACCTACATTTCTAAACTATCTAAACACAAAATAATAAATATTCGCTTTATTCTTCTAGGATGGAAAATAACATAAAAAATATTAACCTTTAATTCTGTGGTATCCAACCCGTGTCAGAAAAAAATGTTTTACAATCAGACAGGTATTTAAAAATAAAAAACTGCTTCATTACATATTTCTGAGGCCAACCTCAAATAGTCAAAACAAATAAACAAGTTAAAATAAAACTAAAAATATTTCACTAATAAATGTCTAAGGAATTTAGAAAAGAGGATCAAATATTTTAGTTTCACTTTTTATTTGACTTCTAGATAGATAGATAGATAGATAGATAGATAGATAGATAGATAGATAGATAGATAGATAGATAGATAGATAGATAGATAGATAGATAGATTCTTAATTCTTTATAAAAGGATATTTCTCGCATTGTTCAAATATAAAAAAAATAACAGTTCAAGGGTTTTAATTGGTTATAAGATTAAAAATATCTCCTGGAAAATAAACAGCGTTCTGATTACCCTCATTATTATTGTTATATTTTTATCTGTTATTTTAATACCAGTTGTTCACATATATAATGTTTTTCCCCCCCAAATCAATTGATTTGATTTGAATTATGTAAAAAAAATAAAAAAAATAAAAAAAAAAAGGGTCTGAGGAAAAATCTAAATTTAAATTTAAATGCATATATATTTTTTGGTTATTTTCTGTTTTTATTTAAAATCCCAGATGTTGAGTAAACTGTTTCCTCTGGTTGGTTCTGTGCGTTCGGGTCTCTTACCGTCTGTTTTGGTACCAGGTCTTGACCTGCGTGTCCGTCAGGTTGAGGGCGGCCGCCAGGTCCATGCGGTCCTGAACGCTGAGGTATTTCTGTCTTTCGAAGCTCCTCTCCAGCTGGTTGAGCTGGTGGTCCGTGAAGGCTGTGCGGGCTTTGCGGGGTTTTTTCGTGCGCACCGGCGGACTGTCTCTGCTGCTGGAGATCTCCCGATCGCCTTCCTCTTTAGTTCCTTAAAACGTTTAAAATAGTTTCTAATTAATCTTCAAACACTAAACCATAATTTTCAATTTTTTCCCAGAAGTATTAAAGTTTAGGAAAAGTGCGCAAACCAAACTTTTTTCTAACTTAGCGCAAAGAGAAGAAACTTGCTTATTTGTCACCTGAAGTTTCCTTCTTCTTTTTTCCCCTTCCTCTCTTTTTTCAAAAAACGAGACATCAATATATCAATCCATCTCTATTTGTAGCCGTGTTTCAGGGCGCTATAATCCCCCCTCCAGGAAGAACAATAATCTCTCTAATTGACCCACTAGGGAGGCCCCACGCACGGGGAGAATCACAAGGCTTACATCTGTTTTCACATCAATTACAGCAAGAGAGGATCCTTATTATTATTATTATTATTATTATTATTATTATTATTATTAGTGATGTTGTAATGATAGGAATTTAATTTAAACTCTTTACTATTCTGGTTAATGCGTAATTTAAATAATTTCTTGCCCAGATCAAAACTCTTACCGTTGCATTTCATTTCGCTTTGAATATCGTCCCTTTTGTCTAACTTGCTCCTGTTTTCGTCCTGCTCCAGTTTGGGCCTGAACACGTCCGGTCCCGCGGCACTTTCCGGTTTGGGCGTGTGGTGAGGAGAGGAGACGCTGGTGCTGTAAGGCGCGCAGGCAGCCAGCGGTTTGCTGTCCCCCAAAATGTCTTTGATTAAAAACGAAGAGGTGGCAGTCCTGGGGGGCCCTCCGACCTGCTGCTGCTGCTGCTGCTGGGGAGGCAGAGGAGGAGACAGCGGTAAGCCCTGCTGCTGGCCGTGGAGGTGCTGCTGCTGCTGATGGTGCAGGTGGTGCTGATGCTGAAGGCTGTCCGGGACCAGATGCGCTTCTCCGCCGTGCTCCATGGTGACCGAGATGGGGGAGGATGGGGCCGTGCCCACCGTGTCTATCTCCGAGCATGGTGAAGGGGTGGCCTGGCTCCTGAAATCCGTCCGGAAGTCTCCGTTCATGAGGTTAGCAGAGTTTGAGGCGCTGGATAAAATGGTGTCTATCCCAAAACTCGCTCCGCTGGATGCTTCCATGTTAAGAAAGGACGGATGAAGCCTTCATAACAACAGCGAGCTGCTTCTCCAGAGGTGTTGGTAAAAAATAAAAAAAATGTAAAATAAAATAAAAATAAGGGAAAATAAGTTAAGAAAACCCAAGAGAGACAAACACAATAAACTCCAGTTCTGGTCCAACGTTACATTCAGAGAAACAAAGTGCGGCTCTTCTGCTCCTTTTTTCTGTTTGGATGTTGAACTTTGAGTTAAAAGTTGAGGCGCATGGAGAGACATACACAGGGCTGACTCCTCGACATCAGGCTCCCCTTTTTTGCCGCTAATCGCTCCGGTGTTGCTCCACAATGACTTCCTATGCTGACGTCACGGCCCACGGCGAGGGGGGGATTAATATTTTCTCCTTTATAATAAACACTAGACGCCCTTTCTCTCTCTCTCCCTTCCTCCCCCCCATCTCAGCACCTACCCACCCTGGCTTCTCTTACCCCCGCTGCCATTGGCTTGCATCCTGACCGGCTCCTCAGAGTCACCAATCAGAGACGCGTTTCCTCATACAGACACTCGCAGGCGTGAGAGTTCAAGAGTGCGGCTCTTTTCTTTAAATAAAAAACATCACTTGCATGAAATTTGTAACCAAACTGGAAATTTTTTTATTTTTTACTTTAAAAGCCAAGACTAAATGTTGGATATCCTTTTTTTATTTTTATTATTATTATTATTTTACCTCTGAAAGATGGATCCTGTTTTTAAATCTCCAACTTCATCATCATGGTAGGAAAAAAATATTTTTCTCTTTAATTTAAAAAAAAAAATCTACAAATTGCTAACTTTTATTTAAGCTTTACTGTTTTGGACGACTGGCGCATTAAATGCGTAAAATATTCCCCCATAATCCAGAGAAATGCGCAAAGATAAGCGGCACCTGCCACGAATCCGCGCGCATATCCAGCAGGAAGGTCGAGCAGAGCCTCTCATGGCAGCGCATCCTGTTAATAACCACGTCACCCTAATTAGTAAAGTAATTATGAGGCGCTAATGAGCGTTCAGAGGTAGTAGGAAATTCAGCACTTTTCCCCCGGTGTGGATTTGAAGGATGTTGAAGCGAGGTTAAAAAAAAAAAAAAGAGAAGAAGAAGCTGACAGGGAGCTGCATGATTCTCATATGCGCAATAATTTCATTTCTTAAATTCTCCTTCCGAAGTTAAAAAAGGATTGAAACGAATAATGCGAATGAATTGATTCCAGTTTTGCTCATTTTATTAAAAAATTAAAATTCCTCCAGCAGTTTTTAACATGAAGTGTGATGCTGTTGATGCTGAAATTAGGAATGAAAAAAATCGGATTTGCAAGTTTTAATCCTATATTTACCTTTAAGATTATTTTAACTGAAATTATCTGACATCTTTTCGTAATATTTATAAATAAATAAAAATAGATTGACTCATTTTAGATTGCTTTTTTAAATAACACCAAATCATTTTATTTCCACAAAAAGATGCTTTTATTTTCCCCCTTTTAGTTTTTAATTTTTGTTTTAATCAAAATAAATAAATATATTTTAAAAATTGATGTAACGATTAATAGACTTTTTTTTTCGTCTCTTTTCACTATGAGACAGTTTTATTTTTATTAAAATAGGTTTTACTTTAATTATTTTTCTCTCCGGATCTTAATTCCATTTTATTGTATTTATTAAAATCTAAGCATATTTTACATATATAATATGTTTCTAAATTATTTTTTTAAAGTGTATCTTTCGAAATGAAACCCCAGTGTCCCCCGCTCTCTCTCTCTCTCTCTCTCTTCCAGCTTCAAGATGCGCTGCAAGGTTTCACCACCAGGCGACGACAAAGCGAAGAGCCGCTGATGTCTGTTTGGCAGAAAGCATGAGGCCTTGGCTGCGATTTACTGAGTCTCTTTGACACTTTTCACCATCGCTATTCGCTAGAAAACGCTCAACGGACTGAAGAAGACAAAGACATGATATTATGAGCAGAACCCCCCACCCCCCCAATGCAGAACCAATCACAAACATCCCATAATCAGAAAAGTCTTCTTCCTCCACAGGTCAGATCACAGCGATGCCTAAACATGTCAGTCAGGATGCGCTTCATCCAGGAAGCAAGAAGAGAATCAATCTCTTTATTAGAGTTTTTTTTCTTCTTCTTCTTTTTTTTTTTTTGAAGGGAGGGGGGGGTAAATTGAAAGCTACCAGTTACAGTATCGCCTTATTGGCCTCAGCTGATGGTCAATGATGGGACACTGTTCACACACACACACTGGAGGCTGCTGGCACCGCATCGATTCTCTGGCGGCTGTGCGTGGAAGCTGTCACTTCACCGCTGGCGACCTTTGTGGGGCTGCACAGTTACAGATTTCCCCCCTCCCTCTCCATTTATGCTGTCAATCCGTTAGAGTTGGAGAGATGCTGGGATATCTCACACACACACACACACTCACACACACACACACACACACACACACACACACACACACACACACACACACACACACACACACACTGGAGGCTTTTAAGTTTTAAAACACCACTACATTAATAGGTAGTAAATTACTACCTATTATTTTATTACTACTGGCAATAAAAGCAAAGTTTTAATGTAACCAACAGAACCTTCAAGTTAACAATTTGATTATTGTGAGCTCTGAATCAAATTTAGTTCATATAAAATTCAACATATAGATATTGGACAAACGATTTATCTAAATTTGTTTCTAGAAAAAATAAAATCTCCCATTTTTTTTTTTAAATAATTTACTCAAATAAATAATTTATACTCAATTTTCATGGAAATAGAATAACTAACATTTTATCAACCAAATCCAGAATGTTCTTAATATTTACTGTTCAGACATTCTTTGCTTTAGGGATCAAAGAAATTAGAAAAATAAATTTCATATATATATATATATATATATATATATATATATATATATATATATATATATATATATATATATATATATATATATATATTTATAGTTATAGTTATAGTTATAGGTGTGTGTCAATGAATGATAGTGTTTATCACAAATTAATATATTTTAACACATCATTCCCTCTGGTCTGTGTCAGAAATGAGAAATAAATATAATGATAATAGTTGAAATTATATAAAGAAACTAATACCAATAGTTTATTATATATATATATATATATATATATATATATATATATATATATATATATATATATATATATATATATATATATATATATATATATATATATATATATATATATATATATATATATATATATATATATTGTATTTCCTTTCTCTTTTTTTTTCTTTTGGCCACAAAGTAAATTTTATATATCTATACCCGCCTGGCCTTGCAGGGTTGGGGGGCTGCATGACAAGTAGGAAGGTTTAATTCTCATATTATTCCAGCATAATGTTGTATAAGAATTTCCTCTTCTAGTTTCTCCCAAACACCCATTTTTATCTGTTGCAGATAAGAGAAGCAATCATGATCTGAACTCTGAGTATAAAAATGGACAAACTTTTAATCAAATAAATCAGAGGTATTGAGAACCTCAGTTTGAGCAGGTGAGCTTGTCAAAAGACGATCGATGATCAAATGTGATTGGATGGGAGAGGTTTTGTTTCATGAACGCTTTATGTGACACAGAGGGAATCAAAGCTCTGTGCTCGGCGGGTCACGCTGTGAAGGCATGAAAAATAGCAGCAGTGTCAGGAGTCAGTGTGAGAGCTGGAAGTGACCGTCACAGTCGTCCTTGACAGATGGTGCAGTGAGGTTGGGTGGTTAAGGAGGGTTAGATGGATTAAAAGCAACAACAAAAAAGAGACAAACTGTTTGGTATGTAGAAAAGTCATATCAAGCATTTATCTGAGGGTTTGTGTTTTAGTTGGGGGGGTCAGCAGAGGTGGGTAGAGTAACAGAAAATAATGCTCAAGTAAAAGTAGCTCTAATTCCACATGTTTCTCCCTCAGTAAAAGTAAAAAGTAGTATCCAACTAAGAATAAAAAGTATTTTGTTGAAAAGGACCAATAGACAATAATTAATAATAACATTCCTTTCATTTCCGAGACTAAAAGAAACTAAAACAAATAAAAAAAGTAAAATAAACTCAAGCAGAAGAGACTTTTCTACAGTTTTTCTTTAAACAAATGAAACGATCTTAGCATTAAGAATGTCTGTATGATAGAACAGGGTGAACTAATTTAGGGAAAATATCTACCTTTGACCTTGACCTCCACATCATAGCAGCCACAGCAACAGGGGTGGAGCTAGTAGGACGGGAGAGAAGGGCACTGCCCCCTCAAAACAACTTGCAGAGGTGGAAAACTACCAGTGCAAAATGTTACTCAAAGAAAAATTAAGAAATACCAACATTTGACTTTAACTAAAGTTACTAACTTACTTCTTTTTAGCAGAAAAAACCCCTTCTGGTCCATATAAAGGAAAAGAGAAGATATTTGCCTTAAGTTATTATTCAGTAATTAACAGTTAAAATAGATAATTGGAGAAATAAATAAAAACGTCACTTTATTTCTCTTCTGTTGTCTTGATATTCAACCAATCATTCATAAAGTCATTCACATTTTGACACATGCCAAGTTGTGTGTTTTAGATTTTTATTTTTGTTATTAATCAAGTTATATACAGCAATCTTATCCCTTTTGTACTCAATATAGTTAATTTTCAGAAACGTCAACGTTTGTTTGATAGCCCCCCCCCCCCTCTGGTCCCCCATAGCCATTAAAGTCTAGTTCCGTCACTGCTGAGCAGATAAAAGTCCCATTAAAAACAACAACAAGAAATTATACAAAAAAATAAATACAGCTCATTCTAGTGAAACTTTTTTGTATTAAAATGTGTTTGCTCTTTATTCAGTAAGTTTCTCATAGTCATTTTGCTCTAGTATAAGTAGCAATACTTCTGTCAAGCTTCTGTTTAAGTTTATTTTTAATGTATTTCTAGTTGTTTTCTAGCAGTGTTTTGTTCTTGAGTAACTCTCTGCCGCCCCCTTGTGTTTGTTTCCGTCCCCTTGGCTTCCTTCTAGCTCCTTCCATCCACACCTGCTCTTTGTTAGCTCATTAGTCCAGTCTTTG